GGGGGGGGGGGGGGGGGGGGGGGGGGTATCGGGTGGTCCTGGGGGGCGGTTTTCGCACTTTAGGGGTTTGTCGAACTAGGACCACCACCCCGTAGCCCCAGTCGCGTGCACGCGCCCCGCGGGACTGCGTTCAATTTTTTCGCGTGCATGGCCGCTGTGCAAAGGCTGGAAGACAATAGGGGTGGTGGCATTCTGTCTGAACAAGAGGACAAGTGGAAGAGGAGGTGCACAACGGAAAGGAACAAAGGAGAGAAAACGACATGATGAAGACTCTGCAGACGAGAGAGAGAGAGGAGGAGGAGGAGGAGGAGGAGGAGGTGTTTTCAGCTATGGTGGACAGTTGTCGTCGACATTAGGGCTGGAAGGAGAGAAGCAGAAGAGAGAGGAGGGGGGGGGGGAGTTGATCACCGTAGATTTTTCGCAGAATCCACGGTGACTGGCAGTCACACACCGTATACGCTAATCCAAAAGGGATGTCTCTCAAAATAAATAAATAAATAAATAAATAAATAAATAAATAAAAATCCAAATACATACTTCCCTCCCTGGTCATTGTTGTTGACAATTTCGATCATCACCATGTGCATGAATGAAATGGCGTCGAAAATTTTAAAGGAAATTTTAAATTTTATTTTTTTAATTTTAAATAATTAAAAAAAACTTTTTTCCTCTGAGAGAGAGAGCAGGGGGGGGGGGAGTTGATCAGACCACAGGAAATTAAAGAACAAGCCAGCAAAAAAAAAAAAAAAAAGTAAAAAATAAAAGAACAGGCCAGTCAAGCACTCGAGGCAACATAATTTCAAAAATTCCCCCTTTCTTTTCCACACCCTCCTCCAACCTTCTCTGGCAATCACTCACTCACAATCATTTTATGTTCTTAAAGTTTTTCCCAAGTCTCGCTATACAGTGCAGCGAGTGCCCCCACCCGCCAAAAAAAAAAAGAAAAAACAAAACAAAGAAAAAGAGAAGACAATTCAAATTTCAAAGTAGATGGTCCTCCACGGACCGCACGCTTTGGGCTCGGCAAAAGACAAACTCCCTCTCTTCTGCTTCTCTACTTCCAGCCCTAATGTCGACGACAACTGTCCACCATAGCTGAAAACACCTCCTCCTCCTCCTCCTCCTCCTCCTCCTCCTCCTCTCTCTCTCTGGTCCGCAGAGTCTTCATCATGTCGTTTTCTCTCCTTTGTTCCTTTCCGTCATGCACCTCCTCTTCCACTTGTCCTCTTGTTCAGACAGAATGCCACCACCCCTATTGTCTTCCAGCCTTTGCACAGCGGCTATGCTTAGGATATGTCTCCTCCCAGTCAGCCGCGAGCCACTGCCACACGTTCAACCGGTTACACAGTCGGCCGTGTCTCTTTCTCAGCGCCCTGCACAGTTTTCCAAAACCTCGCAGTGGCTCGCACCCTTGCACCACGCGAATGAATCTGCAAAGGGGATTCTGAAGTTTTGTTTCATGGGGGCGTTTCCCCGGCTGGTCCTACAACCCTCTGGACATATGCTGAAGGACAGACACACTCAACGCTCTTATGGTACGAAGCATTGACTTTACGTGTGTACAAAAAACATGTGCCCCGCGCAAGACTCCACAGGGCACAGGCAACGCAATACAAGCCCGGTACGTCAACAGGTAAGGGCACAGCTAAGTCAAAATTAGGTTCCGGGTGACATATCTACCCTCAATTATATCACCAACAACCAATGCTCTCTCTCTCTCTCTCTCTCTCTCTCTCTCTCTCTCTCTCTCTCTCTCACACACACACACACACACACACACACACACACACACACACACA